GTAAGTTTTTTTTCTGGTTTTAGTACAGGGAAACTATAATGTACTAATCTTCAAGAAGGCTAAACTGTGTTCTCTTAAATTTACTTTTATATTTTTTCCAAGCATCTCTTTATTATATAAACAATATTTCTGATGCCAGGTGGATGCTAGACTTGTCAAGGGGCATCACTTAGTAAGTTATATAATGTCTAACCACTATGATATATATCTGAAACTAATTAAATCATATATCTAGTACTATATAATTACAAAATATAATTTAAAAATTTAATTAAAAATACCAAAAACACACAAAAGCAATATTTCACCAGTTATAAGTTAGAAAACACAAATAAGGAAAAAAGAAAGACATTTACCAATAATATCATCACCATTTAGAAATCACACCTGAAAAATTGGAGCAATATTATTTTAATATGCTATTCCAGTTTTATTGAGATATAATTGATCAATAACATTATATTAGTTAAAGGTGTACAACATAATGATTTGACATGTGTGTATTGTAAAATTATTGCCACAATAAGTTAGCATCCATTACCTCACATGTTTTTTAATTGATGTATAATTGATATAAAATGTTATATTAGTTTTAGGTGTACAGCATAATAATTCATGTGAATAGCATAATGATTCAATATTTGTATATATTGTGAAGTGATCATCACAATAAGTCTAGTTAACACCTGTCACCATCCATACATGTTTTGTTTTTACTATTTACTTTTTTATCCCTTCAGACACAAAAACATCTTACTAAAATATTCTTAATTTGTGAAAATTGCTTTCCTTTTCTAGAAACTCTGCCTAATGACTTTTTTTTCTGGTCCTACTGGGTACTTTTTCACTCTTCTACATATAATTTTTGTACTGTGCTTAACTGATTTCCAGTGAAATACTCTTTACATCATTTGAATCAACAACATTATTTTATTCATTGTATTAGGACTAAGATTCTTATGAGTAATATTTTGAAAAAATATTTTACTGTTAGGTCTGGTGAGGTCACTGATGTTAAGGATTGAAAGAAAACAAATTTATAGCAAATTTTCTTTGAATGAACTAATGCTTATTCCGTGCCCCATATACTCTGCTTTTTGTGCTGTTCATGTGTTCAGTCATGTTATTCAGCGGTTGTTTTCACAAGAAAGGTCAAAAGAAGAGAGGTAATCTCCTTTATGTTATTTTTAAAAATTACAACTAACCAGGCTTCTTAAAATTATTCATAATTATATCTGCATTATAACATTAAGGCAAAGCACATTTATTTCATTTGCCTTAGGGATTGATGTTTCTTAAAGTGAGGTACATCAGAATTAAAGTAACTGTGATCAGAATCACTTGAGATGTTCCTCAAAATTTATATTCCCGAGTCCTACTCTTCAGGGTATGGGAGGAGATGAAGGAATCTGCATTTAACATACTTGCCAGGGGATTCTATATCTTGAAGTTTGAGAATCACTGCTTTAGGGAAATATTGTCTCAGATCTCTCCACCGTTGTGCTGCAGTGACATGCATTAAGACTCAGATATTATCATTGGGAATCTTGCCTCAATTGATATTTCATAGAACTTTTTTTTAAAACTTACAGAGTAAGTTGAGCTTTTTTTCTTAAGAAAATGTATTTAAAAATGGTTTAGTCCTCTAGAAAAAAAGATTAGAGATTCTTAGTCAAGTCTCTTTTTAAAATTTGGCATGATTGCCTTTTATCGAACAGTAATTTCTTCATTGAAAGTGTTTGGATTTGTGTGCCCCTTTACTCAGATAAAATGCCTAGAGGCCTCCACTCATGAAAGGCCAATACTGCTTAAGGTTTAGAAAGATAAAAGTGAGGGCCAAAATTAATAAATTTTGTCCCTTTCTATTGTTCCTAAGAATGTTATAAAATTACTTATATGATTGAAGCCATTTATGATTTCATTCACTGCCTATCTGGGTGCCTTGGTGAAATCATGACTTTTCAGCTTCTTGTTCCCTGCTTCTTGGTGGTGTTGAGCCACTTTGCACACATTATGGGGCTGAGGACAGTGTGTGGGTAATCAGTGTGGGAACCCATGGTTACTGTCTGTGGTGCAGGATGGCAGTGACCACATTACCATGAGTAAAAAAACCCAAGAATTGTAGTTGATCTAACAAGTAAGTGACATGAGTAAGTAAGACTGAAATTAGTCCTGAGAGAAAAAAAGTGGTACTGTATGGAGCCCAAATGCTTTAAAGACAACTTAAAGTTGTTACTCAGGCTGGAGAGCCATTCTTACCATATTTCGAGTGATGGAAAAATTTGCTTTATTATGGACAATGGTGAGTCATCTGTAAGCAACACCTCCTCATGTTTTGACTTGGTCTTCAATCCCTTAGATTGAGTCAGAATTTGTTTTTGACTTATAGGCTATGCTATAAGACTAGTTTGCATTTGAAATGAAAGTGACTGAAGCATGATTGATCAAATGGTAATTATCAATTCAAAAACACTTAGGTCAGATTTCTGACAGGGACAGTATTAAGAGGTCAAAATGGCTTTCCAAAACATACCTCAGTTTTTGTTTGTCCAAAGTGAAGAATCAAGAGACCATTCCAAAAAGCCATGTTTAAGGCCTAAACATGATTGGCATCTAGTGGAGTTCCTCTGCAACACTCCACAGCATTATTGTAAACTTTAATGGAATATAACATCTCTCCTGGGAAGGAAGAGATCTAGGACCAAGGTAAAGAAGAGCTCTCTTTCCTGCCCTGCCCCATTAATTGTATCATTTTTACTTGATTTCAGCACAAATGTAATGAGCATTTACTCTGTGATAGTCATTGTGCCAACAATGGGAATGTGGAAAAGATTAAGATTTGGCTCACAATAATTTTTTTGCATGTGTCTGTCCAGTTTTCCCAACACCATTTGTTGAAGAGGCTGTCTTTACTCCATTGTATGTTCTTGCCTCCTTTGTCAAATATTGACTTGTAATGGTGTGGGTCAATTTCTGAGGTTTCTCTTCTGATCCATTGGTCTATATGCCTGTTCTTGTGCCAGTACCAGGCTGTTTTGGTTATAATAGCTTTGTTGTATAGTTTGATATCCAGTATTGTGATCTCTCCAACTTCATTCTTTTTTCTCAAGTTTGCTGCAGCTATTTGGGGTTTTATGATTCTGTATAAACTTTTGGAGTATTTGTTCTAGTTCTGTGAAGTATGCTGTTGGTATTTTAATAGGGATTGCGTTGAATCTATAGATTTTTTAAAATTGAATTTATTGGGCTGACATTTGGTTAGTAAAATTATACAGGTTTCAGGTATACAATTCTGCAACACATCATCTGTATAGTGTATTGTGTGTTTACCACCCCAAGTCGAGTCTCCTTCCATCACCATTTATCCCCCCTTTACCTTCTTCTACCTTCCCCCATCCCACCTTCCCTCTGGCAATCACTATACTGTTGTCTGTGTCCATAAGTCTTTCTTTTTATTTCTTTGCTTAATTCCTTGACTCACAATATTTTAATAGCTTTATTGAGATATAATACACATAACTATTTATCCATTTGATATATACAATTCAGTAGTTTTAAAAATATTTTCACAGACTTTACAATATTCAATTTAGTTCAAGACTCATAACATTTTTCACTAGAAAAATGTTTAGGTTCAGAGGGGGGATAATCCTCCTTGACTCCATTCCTAAGTCTGCTCCTTCCATCAGGATAATAGCACCTTTTATTAAACACCACTGCCTATGAGCTTAGCATTGCGTCTAATTACTTTATAACTGTTATCTCATTATATGCTCCCAATAACCCTGAAATAAGTTTTATTCCAACCTTCTGTAAAATGATGATAATGTATACATACCTAACATTTATTGAGTACAATTATTATTTAATATATGAGGAAACTTACTTCTCTAGATTCCTTTTCCTTCCACCCCTTCCCACTAATTATTAACTGTAACTTACCTTCTGCTTCTTCCTCTACGTAGTTCTGGAAGCTTGCCAGGCTTCTTTGTGAAGATGGAGAGAAATATAGGAGCAGATAGGATTTTCAAGCTTCTGATGAGAATCACAAAGGCTTTAGTTCACGACATTTCTTATTGGGAGAGAGACTGCCCAAGCACAGACAGATAAGGCGAATGCAAGACTTCTGATGGGCAATGGCCAAATAGTAGTTGCTTTCAGCCCTCAGTTCTGATTTAGAGAGATATTTAAATATTTTCTTTCTATAAACTTTTAGGTGTCTATTATTTTTAATCTAAGATTTGTTTTTCCTCCTCACAGTTGGCCAACTTTCCCTATACTGTGAAGTAATTCATGTGCAAATATTTCTGTAACAAACTTGTTCTTTTGTAAACAAACATAAACAACAAACCATTTCTAAATACCACATGAGAAATGTGTGTGACTATGATAAAGGTAAGGAATAGAAAGAGGTTTCTGAAACTTTTGATAGATAGACAGCTAGAAAAAAAGTGATTTTCCCCAAACCCAACACACAAAAATATTCAGGTTAGTTATTTTTCTGGAAGTGACTTAGACATTTTTTATATTTTCTGATGAACAATTAACAATCATTGAAGCAATTTCTCTACTGTTTCTAAGTTCAAGGATGATAATGTTTTTGTGATGTATATGTATTTTTAGGCTGTGCTAATTAAACTGCCAATTTAAAGAAAAACTTTACAAATTCTAATAATTAGTAATTGAATCTAAACTATTTTAAAAGAAGGGCACAAATGCAGAAGAAGTTGAGGTGTCCATTTTGAAATTGGTTTTGAACCACTTAGGTTGCTTTTAATAAAAACAACAATGTACCAGTATGAATCTGCATTTTCAGATTAGTTCCTTTGATAATTGCTTTAGTGTTTAGTATTTTTTTAAGTGGAGATAGTTACTGTATTTTATTTGTCCATCTAAACATCACATATTGTCATTCTGAGTTTGAGTTTGGGATTTTTTTCTCTCAATGATATGCAAAGAAACAAGTATTCTAATGGTTTTATTTTATTCTGTTTTTCTAGGAGTCAGAGAATAATAAGTTATGTTCCCTATATTCCTTCCGAAATACCTCTACCTCACCACATAAGCCTGACGAAGGGAGTCGGGACCGCGAGATAATGACCAGTGTTACTTTTGGAACCCCAGAACGCCGCAAAGGGAGCCTTGCCGATGTGGTGGACACACTGAAACAGAAGAAGCTTGAGGAAATGACTCGGACTGAACAAGAGGGTATGTGTGGACTTAACTGTTGGGCTTTATTCTTTTAAAAATTCCAGGCCTTAAAAAAAAAGAGTGGGATTTCAAGGGCCAGAGAAGTGCATAATTGGCACTAGCCTGGAAAAAGTTATTCAGAGGTTACCATGGTGATGGCAGATTGTGATCCATTAGGAGTGTTAAGCAGATAGCTCCATTTATGTAACATTTTTGTGCATTTTTTTTGTTCTTATGATAACAAATCAAGGTTTTAAACTGACTATAAGCCTTGCCCTGGAAAAAGAGTATAGGAATTTTTTTCAGCTGCAACTTTACTTTTTTCTCTCTCCTACTTCCTTTTGTTGGATAGTGTTTGATTATGAAAAATCAATTGCTTAAAAAGCAAAAAGAAAACCCAAAGCAATTTATTTCTCCTCATTTTTAGAAATATTATAAATATTATTATTTTACCTCCAAACGTTAGAGCATTGAGGGTTTCTAATATTGTTAAAGCTAAATGTTCAAGGGGGAAGTGCTTTGACACAGGACATCTACTCTAATATTCCATATCTACCTTCTCTCCCACAAGAATCCACCTAGGTTCAAGTATCTCTAGACTCTTTTATAATACTTAGTAAAAATTTATCTTTATTGTTGAAAGTATTACAGATGTCTCCCTTTTCTCCCCCATTAATCTCCTCTACCCTGCACCTGCTACTTTCCAGCCCCCATCCCCCAGGCCTTCACAACACTATTGCCTGTGTCCATGGGTTATGCATATACTAGTATGCATACAAGTTCTTTGGTTAATCTCTCCCTTGCCACCTCCATCCCCACCTTCCCTCTGATGCTTCTATGTTTTCAGTTAAATACATCAAATCTAAGTGATTGCTATAATGTGCATGTTCTTTTATATTTTATGTACAGATTTTAGACTTTAAAATGTAGGATAATTAATGGTTCTGGATTTACTACTAACATTGTAAGTTTAAATCTCTGTGGCATATAGGGAAATGGGGATTTGATATAAGGGAATTTTTCATGTTACTTAATTTTATTCGTTCAAGGGCTCAAAAGTTTAAAAACTTTCAAAGTAAATTTTGTGGAAGTTTCAAATTAATTTTTGTGGATGTGTTTAGCACATCAGCAATTTTTGTGGAAATTCTAGAATGTATTACATGCTTTTCTTTCTTACTAACCACATTATATAGCATAAAAGTAAATATTATTTGATGATTTGAAGTCATGATGCAGTAGCCTATGAACGCCAATACCTATCTAACAGTTAACATGACCCTGGGTAAGTTCTAAAATATCTCTGAGTCACAAAATTTAAAAGTTGATATGGTACCTATATCTGACTTGGTAACTCAAACATTTTGAGAATTAACTATAATAATGAATATAAAAGTCTCGTATGAACTGCAAACTGCATAAATTTGAGGTATTACAATGATTATAATATTATAAATGTCAGTTATATTACCATGCTATAATGTAATGATGCCCCCAGAAATCACTGGGATAATTAAGACTGTTTGGCTTTATGGTTATTTCCTTGTAGTTACAAAACTTTGGAGTTCTTGTGTTTTTTTTATATAGATATAATTTTCAGTGTGTGTGTGTGTGTGTGTGTGTATGTGTGTATGTGTTGGTTTCTCTTCTTTAGGTTGCAGGCTGCTACTTCTTGCTTAGTTGTGAATAATTTCTAATTTTCTCCTATCCTATCTAATAAAAGAGAAACATGGTAATTAGCCGTACAGCTGCTACCCTTCCCATTGGCTAATCATTGAGATATGCAAATTAACTGCCAACCAAGATGGCGGCCGGCAGCCAGGCAGCTGATGCGAACAGGGAGGCTTGCTTGCTCCAGTGATGGAGGAAGCCAGGTTCCCCGCCTGCCTTGCCGGCCTCTCAGCTGCTCTCTAAGAAACATTGTAACAAATATAGAAGCTAAACAAAACCCCAGAAACCTGCTTTAGTCAGCCAGGCTTCAGCCAGCAGGACCGCAACATTGTTTCAAATACAGAAGGTAAACAAAGGCCAGAAACCTGCTTTCAGCAGCGGAGGCCTCATAGCTGGAGCTGAGCCTCAGAGCTAAAGCTGGCCCAGAATAAAAAAAAAAGAAAAAAAGGACAGGTTGGGAGCTTCAGTCACTCGCCAGCCTGAAAACAGCCCTCAGCCCCTCACCCAGGCTGGCCAGGCACCCCAGTGGGGACCCCCACCCTGAAGGGTGTGTGACCAGCTGCAAACAGCCATCATCCTCTCATTCAGGCTGGCCAGGCACCCCAGTGGGGACCCCCACCCTGATCCAGGACACCCTTCAGGGCAAACCAGCTGGCCCCCACCAGTGCACCAGGCCTCTATCCTATATAGTAAAATGGTAATATGCCTCCCAGCACTGGGATCAGCAGAGCTGCGAGGCCTCCCAGCACCAGGATCAGCGTGACAGGGGGCAGTGACCAAGCCCCCTGATCGCCCTGTGGCTCTGTGTGTGACAGGGGGCGGGGCCACAACCTCCCTATCCGCCCTGCTCTGTTCGTGACAGGGGAAGGCGCCCCAACCCCCTGATCAACCCTGCTCTGTGTCTGATAGGGGGGAGCTCCCCAACTCCCTGATCGCCCTGCAGCTCTGTGTGTGACAGGGTGCGGCACCCCAACCCCCTGATCGGCCCTGCTCTGTGTGTGACAGGGTACGGCGCCCCAACTCCCCCCCACGGGCCCTGCTCTGTGTGTGACGGGGTAGAGCCATAACCTCCCCATCGGCCCTGCCCTGAGTGTGACAGTGGCGGCGCCCCAGCCACCTGATCTGCCCTGCTCTGTGTGTGACAGGGGGCGGCGCACCAACCCCCTGATCAGCCCTGCTCTGTGTGTGACAGGGGGCAGGGCCACAACCTCCCTATCCGCCCTGCTCTGTTCGTGACAGGGGAAGGTGCCCCAACCCCCTGATCAGCCCTGCTCTGTGCGTGACAGGGGGGAGCTCCTCAACCCCCTGATCGGCCCTGCTCTGTGTGTGACAGGGTACGGAGCCCCAACCCCCCCTGATGGGCCCTGCTCTGTGAGTGACAGGGGGCAGCGCCCCAACCCCCTGATTGGCCCTGCTCTGTGCGTGACAGAGGGTGGCGCCGCAACCTCCCTATCGACCCTGCCTTGAGTGTGACAGGGGGCGGTGCCCCAACCCCCCAATCAGCCCTACCCTGAGCGTGACTAGGGGTGGCATCGCAACCTCCTGATCTGCCATGCTCTGTGCATGACAGGGGGCGGTGCCCCAACTCCCCAATCGGCCCTGCTCTGAGCCCGACCAGGGGCTGCACCTAGGGATTGGGCCTGCCCTCTGCCACCCGAGAGCAGGCCTAAGCCAGCAGGTCGTTATCTCCCAAGGAGTCCCAGACTGCGAGTGGGCACAGGCCGGGCTGAGGGACCACCCCTCCCCCCCCCGAGTGCACAAATTTTTGTGCACCGGGCCTCTAGTTAATCTATAATTCATGAAATTAGATGATCATGACATTCTGGACTATATTTAAAATATGAATAAATGTCTGGGTGAATTACTGAGAGATTCTAGGTAATATTGCTGCAGCTATTCAGGGTCTTCTTATTTCATATGAATTTTTGGAGACTTTGTTCTAGGTCTGTGAAATATGCCGTTGGTATTTTAATGGGGATTGCATTGAATCTATAGATTGCTTTGGGTAATATGGACATTTTAATAATGTTGATTCTACCAGTCCATGAACACGGTATATTTTTCCATTTATTTAGGTCTTCTTCTATCTCTTTTTTTCAATCTCCTTTAGTTTTCTGAGTAAAGGCCTTTATCTCCTTAGTTAAGTTTATTCCTAGATATCTTAATTTTTTTGGTGAAATAGTAAATGGGTTTTTTTTTCATTTCTTTCTTTCATTCTTTCTTTCTAGTTTCTCTTTCTGTGAGTTAATTATTGGTGTATAAAAAAGTCATAGAATTCTGGATGTTAATTCTGTATCCTTCTACATTGCCAAATTTATTTATGAAATCTAGTAGTTTTTTGATGGAGTCCCTAGGGTTTTCTATGTACAATATCATGTCATCTGCAAATAATGACAGTTTTACTTCTTCCAATTTGCTAGAATTTTGTTGAGGATTTTAGTATCTATGTTCATCAGGGATATTGGCCTGTAATTCTCTTCCTCTGTAGTGTCTTTATCTGGTTTTGGGATTAGGATAATGCTGGCTTTACAGAAAGAGCTTAGAAGTATGCCTTCCTCTTGAATTTTTGGAATAATCTGAGGAGAGTAGGTTTTAGTTCTTCTTTGAATGTTTGGTAAACCTCCCCTGTGAAGCTGTCTGGACCAGAGCTTTTGTATGCTGGAAGTTTTTTTGATTACTGCTTCAATTTCCTCCATAGTTATCAACCTATTCAGATTTTTTGATTCTTCCTGATTGAGTTTTAGAAGACTGTATTTTTCTAGGACTATGTCCATTTCGTCTAGGTTGTCCATTTTGTTGGAATAGAGTTGTTCATAGTATTTTTTTTTTTTACAATCCTTTGTATTTCTGTGGGGTCAGTTGTTACTTCACCTCTTTCATTTCTGATTTTGTTTATTTGAGTCCTCTCTCTTTGTTCCTTGGTGAGCCTGGCTAGAGGTTCATCAGTCTTGTTTATCCTTTCAAAGAACCAGCTCTTGGTTTTATTGATCTTTTGTATTTTTTTTTTGGTCTCTATGTCATTTATTTCCACTGTGATCTTTATTATTTCCTTCCTTCTGCTTACTCTGGGTGGTAGCTTTTTGATATTGGTTTTGGTGATGATATTTTGAATATGACATCAAAAGAAAAAGCAGCAAAAGGAAAACTTGATAAGTGGGACTATATCATACTAGAAAGTTTCTGCACAGCAAAGGAAACCATCAACAAAATGAAAAGGCATCTGATGGAATGTGAGAAAATACTTGTACATCATATGTCTGATAAAAGGCTAATATCCAAAATATGTAAAGAATTTATATAACTTTAGAATGTTATAAAAAGGACAAGAAATTACAAGTGTCGGTGAGGAT